TCTATCTAACTCCTTTCAGGGGAAAAATTTCGAATAGAAATAACGTGACTTCCAGTTTGCATCAGAGGTTCGTATATAATTAATCTGGGCCTTCTGACCCTACGATTTTCAAATCTGTTCACATCTTTCATCTATCTAACTCATTCTTGATATTAAAGAAAAGACGGACGGACGATGGGAATTTGTCTATAATTTTTTCAAATTGCAACCCAATAATTAAATTTATTATTATAATAAAAATTATATAATAAATAATATTGAATTTTAATTTAAGTATGTTTGAAAATAAATATTTTATGCCTACTCAAAATTCTATAGATAATTTAATACATAAATTTTATAACAACAATATAATATATTAAAAAATAGTTATGCCTTTTGGTTTTTTCCCCGATTTTTTAAATAATTATTTTATTTTCTTTAAAAGATAAGAAAAATTTTAGACAATTTATTGCACTACAAATATACTCCATACATATAAAAATCATTATAAACTATTGAAAGTTCAATAAACTAATTTCGTTTTACTTTTTTTTAAATTTTTTCTTATTTACATTTTAATTAGCATACTTTTCCTCACACTATTTTGAAATAGAAATTTTGTCAATAATTTAAACACGTTGGTTTGTTTACCTTAGTAGTTTCTATAATTATTACTTGATGAGTTACTAAAACTTTATTTTGGATCTGTTTCTAAAAGAAAAAGTAAATACAGTACGTAAATTTTTATATTTACGTAATAAAAATTGACTTTATTTTTACTGCGTAAATTAATAAACTAAGATATTTTAAAATTATTTAATATGAAAATAAATTTATTTTCTTAATTTTAATTCTTTATACAGTAGGTGCTCTTCCTTGCACAGATGAGTGCCAGATAAGCAAGAATGCCGATTAGGTATAGGCCTAAAACCTACCTGAAGGTGAAGAATGACGTGACCTGTTGCTCTTCAGTATTGATATTTTTTTTTTGACACAGGGCGAACATAATACAGTGCGTGGAAATGCAATACTCTACACAGAAATGAAACCCGAGTAAACAGGAAAATAGGATTTATGACATGACCAACGTTTTCATAGAAACGCGGGAGGCTTTGCTGGATGATTGATTAGCGAGAGTCTACTGTATCAAATGGAACAGCCATCAAGAAAATTTCCCCGAGCTATTCTAAATCATCTTACCCTAGGGTAAGATTATTAAGGTAGCTTCGGGATATTGCTCCTTCGTCTAGGCTTTCAGCGTTTATAATTTTATATAAAAGAGTTGTCTATTTCAATAAAATTCTCACCTATAAATGTTTTATCGACTTTATTCCGCCTTTTTATTTTAATTTGCAGATTCTGAATTTTATTTAACTAGCATAATTCCTGTTGCTTNAATAGATTAGGTTAAAATTTCTTACTAATTGCATGTTTATGTAAATCATACTTCACGGTTTAACTTAAAAAGAAAACATATCAAAATTTCAATAATTTTTCTGTTGTGCTTTATTAATTTTTAAGATTATCCCAACTAAATTAGAATTAAATAACATTTTTTCCTTTTATGTTATTACATAACATTTTAATGTCACTTTACATTCAAATATGTTTTAATAGAAAGGAAATTGTGTGATAGTCAAAAATACTATTTTGTACATTATTTTGTAATACTTATCACTTTCATAACAATAAAATTTTAATGTAGACTGATGAATATTTCACTTACAATGTAAGCTATCATCAAACTTATAATATATAAGAAATATAAAGTAATAAAAATGTAAAAGAGAATTTTTTATATTTCACCAATGTGCTCTTGTCTCTGAAAGTTATGATCTATAATTTTTCCTCCGATAAGATACGCGATAATTATTTACTATTTTTATTTTTATTTTCCGTGCAATATTTTGATAATTATGTGATTTTTGCGTTATATTCTGTTTACATATCCATTTTAATGAGATAGATCTGGTTTTTATCGTAGACCGAATTATTTTCTGTTTTGGATTTAGTTTTTCTCTATGAACGAGCAATTATTTATTGTGACATCGTCACAATACCGGACTGCAATTTTTATTTATATTTATATTTTTAATTTATTTAATTTAAAATATTTGTTCACCACCTCAAATTAGTAGTGTCTTACCCCTGGACATCATACTTTTCTTGCTAGCAACAGAGTCATGCTGGTCATCTATCTAACTCCTTTTAGGGGAAATTTTTTGAATTGAAATAACGTGATTTTCGGTTTGCATCGGGAGTTCTTTTAGAGTTAATCGGGCCCTCCTGTCCTAAGGTTCCATATCTGGTCTCTCCTTTTATCTATCTAACTCTATTCTTGAGATTAAAGAAAGACGGACGGACGGACGACAGTGGGAATTTATAGGTCTACAATTTTTTCAGATTGCAGCCCAATGAACATGTAGTTTAGACGATATCATTTAATTTAACTTTATTATTATTATTATTTATGAACGAAAATTAGCCTCATTTTATATAAAATTGTCTTCACTTGCAATAATTATCTTTTGTAAACTGTAAATTTGAGATATAAAGTCTGATAGACACAACAGAAATTTCATGTAAAAACTGCAAACTACATGTCACGTAGACAAGTTGTATATTGTTTAGAGTTAAGTGAATAAAAAATTTTATTTCGATAAAGTCTTTATAGAACCATCCTCCTTTTAATATTTTAAATTTAGAATTGTTTTGTTGTTATTGACTGCAATTTGAAAAAATTGTAGACCTATAAATGTCCACTGTCATCCGTCTATCTGTACTTCCTTAATCTCGAGAATAAAGTTGGATCGATGAAAGGAGAGACCAGATATGGAACCTTAGGGGCAGGAGGCCCCGATTAACTCTATAAGAACTCCCAATGCAAACCGGAAATTACGTTATTTCAATTCAAAAATTTTCCCCCGAAAGGTGTTAGATAAATGACC